GTTCAAGCCAAGCTTGCAGTCCAGTGCATTACCCACAGCACCACCCCAGGATTCCATATCACATATACAGAAGAAGATTTATTTCAGATAAATGGCTCACGCAATCATGGAGGCCAACAAGTCCCAATTCCATGGGTTAGATGTCAAACTGGAGACTTCCTCTGATTACAGGGACTCAGTCCACAAGTCAGATGGCAGGCTGAAGGCTCACATCCCAAGAACCAGAGCTCAGAGGATGATGACAAGTCAGATGCGGGATCAAGAGAGAGTGACTTTTGCCAGAATATCCATCTATATTGGATGCAGGCCACGTCCCCAAGGAAACACCCCTTCCAACTGATTGGCCTATCACATCAGTTCAGAAAACGAAGGATGATTGTGTATCTGTCAAACCACTGAGATCATGACAGCTATAGTGACATCCAATGTTCACCTTCACATACATGTAGACTGTTGAATCAGTGCATGCTCTGCTCTGTATTCAACAACAACAAAAATAAAATGTTATTTAAAACACTTGGTCCAGTCTTACATATTCACAGAGCAAGACACTCCAAATATTCTCTAAGAATGGGGTCAAGAAGAGAAGGAGTAGAAGGTGATTATTATTGTTGGGCCATCAGGTCAGTTCTGACTCATAAAGACCCTGTATAGGGTTTCTGAGGAGACACTGGTGGGTTTGAACTGCCAACCTTGTGGTTAGCTGTCCAGTGCCATTCCAGGACTCTATAGAAGATGACAGAAGAGGGTATTCCAGGCAGAAGACACAGTATAAACAAAGACCAAAATGATGATGTTAGAATCCAACATCTCCTGGGTCCAGGGATTATCAAGAAAAGGAAGGGAATTAGAGGGCATTGGGCTTGACCATCCCTCCCCCGTCCTTACCCCTCACCAGGTCTTCTCTCTGTCCTCGTTCCCATAGGTCCTTCCTGTTGATCCATTCAAAGATGCTAAGAGCCAGCAGCCAGGCCTCCCCTGACCCATGATGAGCAATGAGCAGCTGGGCCATTTCCAAGGGACCAGCATTCTCCATCCGTCCCCAGGGGATTTTGTCCTGCCCCAGCTCTGTTGTGGTCCTCAGGTATAGCTTGAACTTTTTCAGGTCCACAGCCTCGAGTTCCTCCAAGTAGGTGGCCAGGCGGCAGAGGACATTTTCTGTCATCCCTGATGGGTATTTGGAGCATGGACCCTGAAGGAGTGAACTGGAGACTAGGGGGGACCCGGATGTGCCCATCCACAGACTGAAAGGAGGAGAAGTTGGGGCTCGTTCCCTCATGCCAGAGGTTATAGGAATGAGAGAGGAAAGTACTTCTGTTGAAATAATGTTTTCTCACTTTTCAGTTGCCTCCTGCTTCACTTACTAAGGGGTGTTCCCTTTGAAGAGGAGGAAGTTGGGGAGCATTGGGCAATCACAGGCACGATGAGTAACAACCAACTCTGTGGCACCTAACAACAACTGCTTCAAGAGAAGGTCTCGTTTTTATTCACTCTACCCTGTTCTCATGATAAAACAAGGTTTTATCATGTGTATAAATGTTAGTTTACATCCACATTGACTGGCTTTTAAACATGGTGACAGGTACACAGATCACCAGTGTATAGAATCTGGTGAATCTCCATCTTCATTATGTTTTCTGGACAACTGCACATGGATGTGGTATGGGACATTGCTGATTCCTTTGGCCGAGACAGCTTTGTTCAGTGTGGAGTTAATGCACACATATGGTGTTCCCATCTTCTTCATGGCAAATATCTGAATCTCCTTGAGTTCTCAAGGGGCATGCTTCTTGAAGCCTACATCATAGATACGCTTGTGAGTGTTGATGATGTCCTCTCAGGTCACCACTTCACTAATAGCAGAACGGTCCTTCTTCTTTTCACCACCCCTCTTTGTGGGAGCCATAGCCATGGGACCAGGTTGGACCACATAATTTTGTCATTGCTTCTACTGTTGAGAATATACACAGAAAAATACACACCAATTTGACATTTTATGTATCAATAAAATCATTCTTATCAACGGAAAAAAGATTGAAGTTGTCAAGGACTTCACTCTTCTTGGATCAACTACCAACACTCATGGAAGCAGCAGTCAAGAAATCAAATGACGTATTGCATTAGGTAAATCTGCTGCACAAGACTTTTTTAAAGTGTTGAAGAGCAAAGAAGTCAGCTTGAGGACTAAGGTGTGTCTGACTCAAGACATGGTAATTTCAATAACCTCATATGCATGTGAAAGCTAGACAGTGAATTAGGAAGACAGTAGAAGAATTGATGCATTTGAGTTATGGTGTTGAAGAATATGAAAAATGTCGTGGGCTGCCAAAAAACCCAACAGATCTGTGTTGGAAGAAGTGCAGCTCCTTGGAGATCAGCATGGCCAAACTTTGTCTCTCATACTTCGGATATATTGTCAGGAGGGACCAGTCGCTGGAGAAGGATATCATGTTTGGTAAGGTGGAGGGTCAGAGGAAAAGAGGAAGACCTTCAGTGAGATGGATTGGCAAAATGGCAGCATCAGTGGGCTCAACTGTGGCAACAATTGTGAGGTTGGCCCAGGACTGGGAAGTGTTTCATTCTGCTGTGCATAGGGTCACTATGAGTCAGTATCAACTTGATGGCACCTAACAACACAATAGTCAAGTTCTGATTATCAAGCCATCGAGCCTAGGTCAAATGGGTACTGCAAGTTGGGGTGTTCTTGTGCGTCTCCCCTCACTTCGTATCAGTTGGATGCTTCACTCTCAGCTCTAGCCCTCTGTGGCTATGTCCTTGTCTATGGGCATAGGTGTCCCCAGGTCTCACCACACTTTGGACCAACCAGCCCTTCCTCTTTGCTCTCTCTCATCTCCAGGTCAATGGGAGTCTATGAAGCAACTCTTTTCTTCATTGTTGCCTTATTCCCTCTTCCAGTCATCTGTAGACCAATGTGGCTGCCAGCAAGCTTGCATGCCTGCTCATGTGTTCCCTTTGAGTTTCAGTGTTAGAGAGGGGTTTGTCCTGAAGGGACTTGATTTCTTGCCTTGATGGCTTCCTGGTGAATAACTTGCTTATTCTTGTAAGTAGCCAACCATACTGCCTTTTTTGTTTTGGGTTTTTCCTGAGGATGTATCTTTGAAGATGTATCTTCTATTACTCTAGCTGTTCCAGGATGGACTGCTTGTCCTTTCTAATGGGAATGTCCTCAGAAGGTTCTGGATGGGGCTCAGGATTCCACCTAAGGTCCTATACACTGTAAAGACCCAGCAAGAGGCCTATTTCATTGGGCAAATTCTAGAACCCCTTTTAGGTATTTCAATAGGTTATAGGCTGAAGATGGGCTTACAAGCTTTCAGTAATCATGTTTCCCAACATTCTTTTCTATCCCACTCAAGTGTCTATTTTACAATAGTAAGCAAGGGAAACCAATATTCATAAGACAGTCAAGCATCTTAGTATTAGTTCTCCTCTTAAGGTGTGCCTGTATTACAGACCCCTGTTGTTCCAAGGTTGAGCATGCATCACTATTTACTTCTGTTCCATTTAGCCCATGCAAACCTGTCTCAGTGCTTCTCTATCGACCTTGTTCTTCCACCGTCCTACCCAATCTTTTGAGTTCATGCTGTTAATTTGATCCCGTGTAAACCAAACAAATTCATTATTGTAGAGTCCATTGCATCTCAAGCAACTCTACAGGACAGAGCAAAACTGCCCCACGGGGTTTCCGACACTGTAAATTCATACAGAAGCTGCCTCCGAGTGGCTGGTGGGTTACAGCCAATGACCTTTCAGTTAGCAACTGACTATTTTAACCACTGTGCCACCACGACTCCCTTTGGTCCCATCTAGATAGCTATTGTTGTTGTTAATTGCCATTGAATTGGCAACAATTCATAGCAACCTTATGCACAACAGAACGAAACACTGCCCAGTCCTATGCCAAGCCCAAGTGTAACTACACTTAAATCCATTGCTGCTGCCACTGTGCCAATCCATGTCCTTGGGGGTCTTCTTTTTCTCTGATCCTCCACTTTGTTAAGTATGATGTCTTTCTGCAGAGACTGATCCCTCCTGATTTGTTCTACTGGCAATCCATGGTACTTTTAATATTCTCCTCCAACACCATAACTCAAATGTACCAAGTCTTCTACGGTCTTCTTTATTCATCGTTCAGCTTTTGCATGCATTTGAGGTTATTGAAAATACTATGGTTGGTGAGGAACATCTTCGTCTTCAAACTGAGATCTTTGTCTTTTGAACACTTTAAAGAGGTCTTGTGCAGCAGATATGCCTAAGGCAATCCATCATTTGATTCTTGACTGTTGCTTTCATGAGTGTTGATTGTTCATCTGAGCAAAATGAAGTCTTTGAAAAAAACTTCAATCTTGTTTCCACTTATCATGATGTCATCGATTGGTCCAGGGGTGAGGACTTTTCTTTTCTTTACATTGAAGTACAACCCATACAGAAGGCTGCGGTCTTTGATCTTCATCAGTCAGTATTTTAAGTCCTCTTTGCTTTCAGTAAGTAAGGTTTTATCACCTGTGCATCGCAGGTTCTTAAAAGAGCATAAGCCACAAGGCAGGCATTCTTTACAAGTTAAGCTAAAATATGATTTGGTTTGAAGAAGACTTCAGGGGATATCTAGCCAATGATGTCTTCCTCCTGATGGTCTGTCCAAAGCACCACAGTAAGACAATGTTCTGCTGTGACCAGTAAGGTTGTCACCGTCTTTCTTCCTAGTCTGTCTTTGTCTGGAAGCTCTGTTCAAACATGTCCACCATGAGACATCTTCCTGGTATTTGAAAAACCAATGGCATAACTTCTACCATCATAGTAACAGTCAGGCCACCACAATATAGACAAAATGACAAATGAATGTTGAGTGGACATCGTTGGGGTCCATTATTTAGTGATGGAGCACTTAATCATTTGTGCCACTCACAGATACAGGGTCCAGAAATTCAATACATATTTTGATGGAGACAATTCATTCCTTAATAAGATGGAGTTGAGGGATGTGGGTTCAGTCATACAGTGGTGTGAGTTGAGTCCTAAGATTGGGAGAGAGGCACATGTCCTTACTCTGATTTTCTCTATGGGTTTGATCCAGCCTTCCTCACATGACTCACAACTCAACCTCCTTCCACATCCTCCTCACAGATGGGGGAAAGACAGACTTCTAGGAAGGCAGAAAGTTGGGTGGAAGGGAGCCGAAGCAGCACACATCCCTTTTCAAGAAAGCACTTCTTGACTATCAACTAATGAGCAAATGAACAAGATGTGATCTAGACACACAATGGAGTGTTACTCAGCAATGAGGCGAAAGGAAGTCCTGGTACACAACAAG